TCCCAGACCCAGTGCAAGCCCTCGGGGGCTGGAGGGACAACTCCCTGGCCCAGGAGCTCCTGCACTCATCAGGGAGGGGCTTCTTACTCTCACATGTGTCCTGGTCCCTCTGGATGCTGCCCAGCCTGGCCCGATCAGCTCAAGTCCCCGTGTCCTACAACTCCTCAGGATCTGAGTTATAGTCACATCTGTATTGGTCATCTCATACCTCATGCACCGTGTCACCTGGGGAGGCGGGTTGACTTGCTCCCGCATCAGGTGGATGGGGAAACAGGTCCAGCACTGGGGGCCCTTGTCCTGTTGAGACAGACTTTGTACCCGCCCTTCATTTTGGCTCCGTGGCTGAGCTCTGTCCCTTCCACCTCCTGATGTCTTTTTGAAGAGCAGCTTGGTGTGGCCAAACCGAGCCCCACAGCTCAGCACTTATTGGCCATATGCATCCCCCAGCTCCTCAGTGGCCAGGGGCCAGTTCCGAACAGATGGCAGTGGGCTTCTGCTACTGCACTGTCGCTTCCCTACTGGGGAGATGAGGCTGCAGTTCTCCTTCCAGCCAGTGCGCTCAACTCTCTGCCTTTCCAGTTGGTGGCCGCAGGGCCAGAGCAGAAGACGTTGTCCAGTTGGTGCAGTTGGCATGGATGCCGAGTGGGCAACCGCATTTTGATTTGTCGCCCTCTGCACAGGGGGAGGGGGCCTGGGTCCTTCTCCTGCCCCAGGGAAGGCTTGGACCCATGTGCCATTGTGTCTCAGGCCTGTGTGTGTGGCCGGACTTTTGCTTTGATCCCACATCAGACTCTGGCTTTATTATTTTTCCAAGCATAGTGATTATCCTCCTAATCATGCCAGGAAATGAAAAGCCACAGCCGCTTTCAGCTCGGTGGCCCTGTAGATCGCTGTTGTATTATGAATGTGAAAGTTGATTGAACCAGGGAAACAATTTGAAAGCAGGGTTTCCAAAGCGACCTCGATAAGAGGAAGTCTTGCTTGTGGTCGGGGGCAGCGCAGGAGCCAAGAGGCAGGGTAGGGCTGAAGCCTCTTGCCCCTGCCCTCCCTCTGCAGGTCCCAAGGAACACAGAATGCTGAAGCTGGACCAGTCTCAAGCCTCAAGCCTCCTCCAGCCCAGCCCGGGGTAGTACAGGTGACAAACTAGGCTGATCCCCTCCAACCACTTCTAATAACCTGGCCTCTATAGAGTTGGTGGCTCCTTGTGCCCACTCCTCCTTCCTCCCTCTCCTACCTATTAACTGATGTGTTTCTGTATTTCTCTCCTTGGGGTGGGGGCTTCCTCTTCCTTGAGTGTATCATGGCTCCTAGCACAGGGAGGGACTTGATACATGTTTAGTGAACAGCATTGTAAATCAATCATGATGGCAAGGAGAATGTTTGAAGAATAGTCTATGTGTTCTGTGCATTTTAAATATTGCAAAGAATTTAAACTTCATAAGCAATCTTACAGGGACATAGGTTGGTCGTTCTCTGTATGCCATTTTCCATGCCCTCTTTTCTTATTCTCCAGTGATATCTGGACCCCTGTTTTGCTAAGATCTAATTGCAGGAAGGTGAGGGATCTGTAGCAGCCTTCTCTGCCTGGGGATCGGTGCTTGTTCCCTTACACTTGCTGTCTCACCTTGCTTGCGGCTGCCCGCTTCCCCTCCCTTCCTCTCCCCCTCCCTTCCTCTCCCTCCCCTCACCTCTCCTGTGTGACTCAGCTCCTGATCCACTGGACATGCTTAAGAGCCCGGCAAACCCCAGCCCTGGAAGCCCCCAGCCCCACACACTGCTTGACGGCTCTCTCTGCTCTTTGGCTTCTGCTGGGAATATCTTTAATTTCATCATTTACCGCCTGCCTCCCCAGTTAAATGTCATGAATATTGTTTCCATTGATGGCTCATTAAAAAAAAAAAAAAGTGCTTGCTCTTCTGTGGGCTTGGCCTGACCTGGCCCAGGAGTCCAACGGAAAAAAAGCTCGAATAAGCATCCTGAAGACCATCCCTCCTCTCCAGGGTGCTGGGGCTGCCGGGCAGACGTGAAGCTGCTTCCTAGAGGGAAGGAGAGCCTGGCCTTTCAGAAACGGTCGGTTTCACCTGGTGTTGGCTCTGGAAGGGCGCATATCATGGCGACTTCCTCTAGTTTTCTTAAAAGTGTACAGCAGACGCTATTTGACAAACTTGCATTGAGCATGAGTTGCCCACGAGGCTCGCTAGAGCAGAAGGGAGATTCCTAACCCCAGGAAGCCAAGGGTCGGGCTGGGGCATGGTACCGGCTCTTCTCTGCCAGGTGCTACTTACAGTGCCTTATGGACAGTTCTGCTAGGAATCCTTCTCACAGCTCAGCAGCAGTGAGATGCTGGTATCATCCTCACCGTTTTACAAATTAGGAAACTGAGGCACAACAAGGGCCAGGAAATTGCCCCAGGTGCAGAGCTGTGACATGGCAGGGCCGGGACTTGAACCTGGACAGCCCATAGCTGAGGGGCTCTGCTCCACTGGACTCTCCCATTGCTTCCCGTGCCGCAGGGGGCGCGGACATCCGGATGAATGTGCAGTGCGCAGGCGTGGCTAACAACAAGGTCCAGGGGCTTCCTGGGCCAGGCGGAGCTGGATTTGGGTCGCCATGGAGGAGAAGGAGGCAAAAGTGGCTCATGTCAGGGAGGAAGAAATAAAACACGAGAGACGTGGTTTCAGAGAAAGAATGTGAGAGCCAGCTTGTGTGCACAGGTGTGCATGCGTGTGCGTGCGCCTGTGTGTGCCTGCGCGTTCCTGCAGGAGGCTGAGGAGGGCAGGTGTGATCCACCCACTGGTCCTGGTGTTCCGTCGGCAGGAGGTCTGGGACGTGCTCACTCTTGCTCGGGGAAACAGCTCAAGTGGGGAGAGTCCCCGGGCACACAGGGCAGATGTGCTGGGTGACAGTGACCCCGCTCTAACCCCACCACCAACGCAGAGTGTGTTTTCTGCTGTTTTCCCCGTGACTTTCTTGATGTAAGCCGCCCGCCGAGCGCAGACTGTCATTCCCAGCTTTCCTCAGCTGTCACGGCATTAAGTGTAAAAAACAACAACATATATTTATTTTATGTTATTTACAAACCGTAATACTCGGCAGGAAAACAAATTGGGATTTCTGTGCAAAGAGGCGGCAACTGATGTCAGATTCACTGTGTGGGAGCAGACGTCCTTGGAGGAGCTGGAGCGACCTGGTGGCAGGAGGGATGGTGGGGACTGGGACTCAGAAGGCCGAGGTGGGCAGTGAAGCCCTCACGGTGGTTTGACCAACATGGAGCGCACGTGGGTCAGAGACGAGCCATGGTGATGCTCTCGACGGTGGTCCTGGGGCCGAGGGGGCACCGGGGCTCAGCTGCGCGTGCGTGTGCGTGTAAGTACGAGCGTGTTCTTCAGCGGCGCTACCTGTGCCTCCTCCCACCTTACTTCTTGTCCCAAAGCAAGTAGTGCTTTCACTTTCCAGGCCTCTTGGGCAGCCAAGGCACCCTCTAGTGGGCGGGGGCAGAAAGCCAAGAGGCCTGGCAGGGCAGAGGGACGCGCAAGCTGGGCCCGTCACACGTGTGCATATGACATTGCATGACCGAGACTCCCAGAGCGATGGCATCCTTCTCCTCCTTTAGCAATTGCTCATTTGCCCCGGGGTCCAAGCTCTCCTTGAGGCACCAGGGACCCTAACATTGACCTCTCTCCACGCTCCTCCCAAGCCCAGCACCCCTTCTCACAACACTGGGCTCCCAACCTCCAAGGATCTACACGGAGCAAGTCTAGGATGTGTGTGGGAGGTCCTAGAGGAGAGGCCCTTTATTTCCTCCCGGAATTGTCAGACCAGAGTCACATAGGCCCTGAAGGAAGACCCCGAGGAGACTTGAGAAAGATCCTAGTGAGTGCAGGTGGCAGCTGCAGAGCAGCATGCCGGTGACTGGAGCCTCGGGTGCCTCCAGGCCTGAATCTCATCTGTTCCAGGACTGTGCTGTTGGTGAGTGCATCAGGTAAGTGTGTTATTCATCTTACATTGCTATGACAAAATGCCTGAGAAAATCAACTTAAAATTGAGGGAAAATTTAATTTATTTTGGCTCATAGTTTAAGGGATTTCAGTCCAACATCACTTGACCCTGGTGCCTGTGGGCTTGTGGTGAGGCAGAAGACCATGGCAGAAATGTGTGGTAGAGGAAGCTGTCACCTCCTGGCAGCTGAGAAGGAGAAAAAAGAGGGCCTGGAGTCCCATGTCCCTCTCAACAGCACATCCCCAATGGCCTGCTTGCTCTGACGAGGCCCTGCCTTCTAAGGGGTTCCACCACCTCCGGGTGCCAACAGCTGGAGACCAGGCCTTCAACATGTGGGTTTTGGGGGGACCTTCCTGATGTAAACTATAGCAGCAGGAGATTCCATTTTCCTCTTCTCCATCACAGTTTGCCATTCGCATTAGTGAAAGAGCACCCAGCAGTACAGTGCTGACCACAGCCTGGTGAGTGGATCAGCTGACGGGGGAGGAGGGAGGTGATACAGGAGGCCCCGAAGAGGGGTTCCGACCTGCTGACCCAGGGCTGCCCCCAGTGTTATTCAGAAAGCACCCCTCTGCCCAGCTGGGGTGGGCAGGCCTGGTGTGTGGACCCCTCAGGGAGCTGAGCTGGTTTCCAGGAGGGAGAAGGACAAAGCCAGCAGGAATCCAGCTGCTCATTTTATGGCCCCAAGAAAGAGTAGGACTTACCCCAGACCACACCGTGGGCTGATGACGTATGACTTTCTGTCACCTGAGATCACCAGGGCACCTAGCTGTTGGGCTGGGAAACCCACTGATGAGAGCATTTGTCAGAGCAAGCCGGGCAGCAGGGGGACGGTGCTGGGGCTGGGGGTTCGGCAATAGCTGAAGGACTCACGGTCTTGCGATGGCCCCGACCAGTTGAAGCTGAGCTCCTGCGGGTCTGGGATTCGCTTTTCAAGCAGCCACTGGCAGCTCTGTTTTTATCCCGTGGCCTGGCGTTACTGCCTGGCTCTAGCTGGGGCAGGGCCCCTCCTCCGGGCCTCCTGTGGTTCCCTCTGAGCTGCAGGTGGAGAAGCTTCATCAGCAGCTAGGTGTGAGGATGGTCAGACTGAGGATCTGGAAGGGCACTGGCGGAGGGCTGGCATCCAGGGAGGGCAGACCCAGGCCGAGGTCCTCAGAGCATGCTCTGCTTGGAGCACCTTTCACGCCCCAAACAGCACTACCAGCCCTTTGCTGAGGCCAATGCCATGGTCACTGGCTCAGCATCGTTCTCCTGGGGAATCCAGTTTACTCCACCCGGGGTCTGCATTGCCTCTGACCTTCTGAATGAAATGACCAAAC